TGAATTGTGAAATTTTATCTGTTCAATTCAGATAAAGACTACCTACCAATAAACCTGTCTTTTTTCGGTTCCTCCATAACTGGTGGTTGTCATATAGTCCAGTCTCTTTTCAATTCCTCCATAACTGGGGATCATCATATAGTTTCACAAGATGCACTCAAATTGGACTTCTTGTCCTTTTTAAAAAGCACATCTTGTGCCCAAAACATAAATAGATAAAATAAATAAAAGGACTCATTTCAAGTCACACGTCTTTGGTATCAGCTATGACATTTTCTAATCTTTGCCTACTGGAATGGACCCAGACGTATTAAATCTTTTACTCAAATCAGACATCCCACAACCCAAATAAGCAGAACTGAGTAAGCATAAGAACAAAATAAGAAATTAAGAGAGAAAACACCAATCTCATCAGACTAAATGATCATTCCTCCCCCATTTCAATACGCCGGACAACCTATCTTGTCATAGCAAAACAACGAATGATCAATAGAGCCCATAAGGGGTCTTAAAAACACCAATATTATAGATATTTAGTCTCTAGTTCAGCCCCGTGATTCCCATATAACAGCAGGAAGCGGAATTTCACTAGCCTTGCAAAATAACAAAGCTAGTACACACATATTAAACCCTACAAATTGGTCCTAATAAACCAAAGAATTACCTCACACCCTCAGACTAAGCCTAATCAGCTGCAGCTTAAGAAAAATCCAAAATAAACATGCAAAAACCAAAAACCGAAAGCTAAAGAAAAGCACAAAAAGACATCATTTCCCCTCTTTCCAATCTTACCGTCTCCGATCGTTTCAGCAGAGGACCTTGCAGTAAATTCCGACCAGAACCAGAAGCCAATTGCCGCTTGATTTTCTCCAAGCTCGTCCTCGTATCCCCATCGCCCTAACACAAAAATTTTCCAAAAATTAAAAAAGAATTAAATCACTATAATCAACACTATTCTTTTCCTCCCCCATTCACAGTACAATCATCCGCGATCAATACAGAAATACAGTGAAAAAAAAAGGAAGAAAGAAAGGGCACTTACCAGAGGAGCTCCATTGGTAGCCATCAATGATGAAGAGAAATCGATGGAAGAAATGGGAAAGTTTTTCTAAAGAAATTTAATTTAATTTAATTGGGGTTTTTACTATAAGGCGGAGAAGAGGATTTAGGAGAAAAAGAGTGAGGGGTTATGAGTTGTAGCATTTGGATTAGTTATTACTGGTGGTTAGGTTTGGTATTTATATGGATGGACTTATAGTTGTAAGGTACTCTGCTCTCACTTTCTACTGTTTCAACTAATTCTGCTTTTCCTTTTTTCTTTTTCTTTTCTTTTCCTTTTATTTAGTTGTTTCTTTTCTTCTTCTTTTTTTGGGCTTTTTTAGTTCTTTTGGTTAGGTATAAGAAGATTTCTATACACTTTGGATTGAAGCAAACTCAATGCGTGTGTATAGATTGAAAAGATTGATGTTAATGAATGAATAAGTTACAATCTGGTGCGAAAAGTTTTTTTTTTTTTAAGTTATGAATCATAAAAGGAATCGATTTGCCTTTATAAGGCTTGTTAACAGGGACATCAAGTGTGAGTCAAGGAGACATTGATCTAACGGATGAAGATGTGATTCTAGGGATTAAAGGTTGTAGGTTCAAATTCTTCTATGATCACTTTTCCCCGCTTTTTAAATTTCATGCCTCTGTTAGAAAAATGTTTTAAAAAAAACCTTAAGTATTCTAGTGCTTTGGACAAGTATGATCAATTTGAGAATGTATTTAAATGTAGGGCTCCAATAATTGTGATTTGTGTCTTTACATAGCAAGTCAAATGTAGTTTAAGTGTGCTAACCATAACCCACTGAATATAAGTAACACTCATTGTATTAGTAAGACGGAGCTTCATAAGGATGCTTTGGTGCTACTGTATGAGTAACACGCTTTGCATTCTAGAGTTAAAAACATGTTAATCTCGAAAATTAAAATAGAAAAGGTGACAAAATTGAGATAACACCACATTAGTTGCTCCTATATAAACATCACTGCATATCTACTTGATTTGCAAGTGTAACGTAAATTCTATTGATGTCTTCAATGTATGTACGTAATTGATATTATTTTTCTATTATCAAGAGGTAAAAAAGATTTAGACGTACTAAATGATAGATGTCTACTTCTAATCCATTAAATACATATAATGAATAAGATTAACTATATTGGGTATATAAATAACTAGAAAGTGTTTTTATAATAAACAAAAAAAAAGCCTTTTTTTTATATCTCATTATTATTAAATTATGATTTTTCATCTAAAAGGTTTTCTGATGCGGTATCTAGTTGACTTTGAAGCTTATCAAGTTCATTTGCATCAATTTGAGTCTTAAGTGAATGGTCTTGTTATTAGTTATAGTTGTCGTTTGTTTTATTCAATTTTTTCCAGCCGATTGTTGAGGTTGGATTGATTAATGTTGGTTTCATGTTAGTGAGTCGTTACTTTTTAGAAGAATAATCTATGTTGACCATGGTTGGAGCCAAGTTTGAGTTAGTTGCTTTAGTTAGTAGTCGAATTAGAGTCTTTTTCTTAGTAGTTAATGTTTAGTTAAGTGAGTTCTAGTTTGATTAGGAATAGGGTCGTATAAAGGCTATAAATATGCCTTAGTTTTGTCGTTTTTTATGATGAATAATATTTTGAGAAAAAATTTCAGATTTCTTTATTGTAAGAAAGAGCTCTTCTTGGCGTGAAAAACCCGTCTTTGAACGTCTTAAAGTAGGCCTAAGGCAGTTCGTTGATAAAATGGATTTGTTAAAATGGATTTAGAATCTTTGATAGCTTTAATCTTGCATAGTTGCTTTTGCATTACTTATGGGAATATAAGACCTATTGTAGCATTTTGTCTTAGTTTATGCTAATTGCGAACTTGAACTAACAAGAATGCTTTGTATTGTTTTCCCTCATTTATGCTTCATCTACAGTGTGTTGTTGTATTTCTTTGGCCCGGGGGAGGCCTTGTGAGGGGTTGGAATGATTTGTTTCGAGGATAAAATTTACAAAAGACGCAAGGTCATGGAACAGTTTAGGAAGTAAATAATACTACTAGAATTTTACATGAGTGCCTTCTAGGGCACATAATAGACAGATAAAACCTTTTTTGCATTTTTGCAGTATACTCCAAGTTGACACAGCTATCAAATGCATGAGATCAGGCAACCATGCATCAAAGGCCTCCTTTTTTCCCTAACCATGAACTTTTGAACATCACTGCTGAGTGCAGTTACTTCACCCAAAATCTCATGCCTGTACCAATACATTTGGTTGACAAACATGTGTAAGATAAACAACCTATAACACTAGTTTACTGAACACTTAGCTGCTTGTCAACTTCTTAGTTCCAGATAAAAAAAGTGGATGTATACATGGATCTCCATGGTAATGTCAAACTTAGATGCCATTCTTTAGCTATCAAAGATTCTAAATCCATTTTAACAAATCACATGGGATTCACATGTATTCATCTTCATCATAGAAAACTATCAATCACTCTGACAAGTGCCTAGGTTGTATGCTTGAACTAATTGGTGTCAACTTAAAGTTCTACCTCAAAAAAGCCATGCAAAGAAACAAGAATATTATCACAAGTAGGGGTGCAATCAAGTCAAGCCGCTCGCGAGTAGCTTGCAAGCGGCTTGATCAAAAGCTTGGCTCGAGCTCGAGCTACATTCAACGAGTTGAGTTCGAGCTCCAAAAATAAATACTTGAGTGCTCGACAAGTTTAATCAAGTTTTCATATTATATTTATATTATATATTCATATTATATTCATATTATATTCATATTATATATTCATATTATATTTATATTATATATTTTGAGAAAATATTTATAGGTTTAGTTCAAAACTCGAGCTCGATCTCGAATAGATCAGGCTTGATATTTACTCGAATTCAAACGAGTCGAGCTCGAGTTTAATTTGATTTTATAGAGTCGAGATCGAGTCCAAATTTATATACTCGTTTGAGCTCGAGCTCGAGCCCAAGTAACACTGATTGTGATCGAGTTCGAGCTCCAGTATGGTGCTACTCGAGCTCGACTCGCCTCGATTGCACCCCTAATTACGAGTGAGTCACACATGCTGTTTTGTTAAGTTTACCACTTGAAGGCAGATTATATTTCACGACTACCGTATGAAAACATGCATGTAACAAATTCCTGTAAAGATTAGGGAAATTCATGTATTAGAAAGACAGGTTGATACGCCCCCTAGAACTAAGTGTATTTGGACTGGGGATTCAGACAATGCAATATTCTAGAATGACCACACATTTCAAAACCAAGTCAGAGGAAAAGTTTCACATACTCAACTGGCCAACAGGAGCTGAATTGAAGGCATTCTTGGCTTGGAATTCAAGCAACCCCACATTGACCAACGGAATTGAGCTCCTATACACAGTGAAGTACTCAGATTTTACATTCCATTTAAGCTTCATTTTGCTACATAGCAATATTAGAGGCGGTAGACCAAAGAACCAAACAGAGCATTCTGCAACCATGGACGGCATAACCATAAACACCAAAATAATCAGAAAGACAGATGCCGCTATTGTGATATGTAGGAGCACAGAAAATAGAGATACTGATAGAAAATAAATAGGCACTTAAAACAAGTACATGTTCAAACATCATTAACCAACACCTTCTCAATCTTATTAATTGCAATCCAAACAACAATGCAATCCTATATAGAGCGCAAATTCAATAGCCAAGTCCAATAGCCGCTTCAGAGGCTGCAACAGCTATAATAAAAATCGAGAAGATGTCTCCTTTTAATTGACGATTAACCAAAAAAATTATCAGAAAAGCTGAAAGTAAAACGGATATTAATTGATGACAGTCCAACAACTAGATCCTTCAACAAGGAAATTAGTGAAAAGTGGTTGGCTTGGTTAACAAACCTTGTTAGATGCCGTGAGTGCCCATGTCTGCATAAGGAAACAGAAGCTAAATCCTCCGAAAAGCAAAAGCCAAAACCAGTTGTAGCTTTATTTGGGAAAATAAATAGATTAACTTTTCCATGATGGTAAAATCATGTTTCAATGGACATACAGATGGTTAAAGCATTTTGAAACACTGTATCTTGGGTACGTACAAATGAGTTGGTACATAAACACTTGATGCTCTTGTTGCTGAAGTCCAGCACAAAAAGGAGAACATGACTCCAGAAATCAGTCCCACTTGGAAAGCTAGCACTTCCTTTGTGTGGGGGTCAGACATTTCAGCAGCAGTTAATGTGGCTTTTATGACAGTGTTCTTCTTGTAACTTGTAAGCTGTAAAAAATTTGAAGAGCAAATAAGTTTTAAACCATTAGCTATGATCATTGTATAGTTTTTCTAACTAGTACCTATAATCTTGAATTACAATGTCATGCAACCCTACCATGTTTACAACTGGTTATGATAAATGAAAGGCCACATCTATGAAAAAGCAGTTTCAATACTGAACAGTTCCTTTTTTAATTAAAATTTGCAACTAAATCACTAATCAATTGATTAGTTTCCTGTGTTCTGCCTAAGTATAGAGATGGAGCATTAACTGATTCACTTTTTACCTCCTCAATTTTGGAATTCAAATCTTCGACAGCTTTTTGCAGCAGTCAAAGTCATTTTTGATGTAATGTCTTCAGAAACAAATTCCACCTCTTTAACAGATCTGAGGTCAAAGAAAAGTCCATCCAGTATAAACAGCTGTTTCACATCTTCTGCTTTGAAATTATCCCTCAACTGTGTAAATTCCCAATGTTGCTTAGTCATAAAAACATGTAGCATAAAATATAAGTGCAAATTTATATTGTCTTTTGGTGACACAATCCGGATCAGGGATTGGTATCCTTTCATGCGGCTCATCTTTATTCAGAGACATGGCTTCAAGCTTTTTGGTGTAGATGTCTTCTGTGGAAGAAATGCACTTTAATGCCTTTATGTGCTTAGCTCAGCCTAAATGAACAGAAATATCTTTCAATTCTTTCCCATAATGCAACACCAGTAGGGGTGGGCTGTGCGTAGCACAGCCAGTGCCCATTGAGATGTACTCATTGGTAGTAAACAGTCAGGAAATCCGAGGTGCAGAATAATGAGCTGGAAGGTACAAAAATAAAGCATTAAACATTCATCCAAAGAAGCATATTACAAAGCCAACAAATAACTGAATAACTAAATAGAAGAGCAATGCAGACAAGAGTTCACCAAGCAATAGGAAAAGGAGATGCTGCACACTTTGTGTTCCCTGTTATATGGAAATGACCAAGAAGGAAGCTATGAGAACAGACAAAATGAATAAAAGCTTCTGAGCTTTAATCTACTTCGTCAAATGTAGCCTTCTTGTTTACTGTTATCAAAACTTTCATCTAAAAAAGTAGTCAATGGTGGTAAGTAAACCACTCCATTGATTCATGATCCAATCTAATGGTGAATATATGATGAAAGTACAAAAAAACAATTGATCAAGTGGCTGAAATTTATACAAAGGACAACCTAACTCTTAGCAAATAGTAAACATCCAATCATAGTAGGTCATTTAAGGAAGTAAAATAGTGGCCTATGACTTGTAAAGATTGTTTGAACGATGTAATGGTTACAAAAGGAAAGCAATTAAACACTACAAATCCAGCGGCCCAAAGTTAAGCAAGATATCAAAATTATTTTATAAAAGTGAAAAATCTCAAATAAATAAATACCTTAAAAGTTGCTTTGTGATTAAATACAGCTTAGCTACAAATGATAATTCTTTGACTGTTTCATTTTAATTATATAAAATAAATTATATACATCTTCCCTAGCACACACTTGTAGTCTTATTGCAAAAAAAATCAGTTTTTCCATATTCCTTTTTAAATATCTATTAGAGATATGATTTATACATCTTAACTTTTTTCCCACACTGTAAAAATATGAATTTTAGCTTTTTTTTTTCCAATAAATCCTAGACAAATAAAAACCAAAGAAATTACTTTCTAAACACATAAGGCTCATAACTGCAATATTTGTTTTTATTTTTATGCGACCAATTAAATCATCTCTTATCCAATGTCTATGTATTATGAAAAATTTATCAATTTTTCGTATCTCTTCTTGTCACTAATCCAAAGAATAAGGAGAGTGTATATAAAATTAAATAAAGGCGATGCACTTATATATGCTTTATAAATAATTAACCTAGCATTTAAACCCCTTCTCATGATGTTTATACTCTCATTAGAAAAAATATCAATTTTGGTATTTTATTTTCCCTTAAAGTATAAATAATTTTACAAATCTATAAAAAGAATAAATAAGGTTGCATTCTGAGTATTAACCTTGCATTTTAACGCTTAGGTAAGGACAAAAATATTAACCTTGCATTTTAATGCTCAGGTAAGGACAAAGTGTCTAGGTAGAGAATCTAATGACTTAGAACAATCATTTCCCAAACTTTATTTTCACAAGAAAATGCTCAGTTTTCCAATAGATTAAATTCGCTCATATTTAGCATTGTCATTATATAAAAATTATTGGCAACTTAAGCATGCTAATTTCAAAGCTCTAGCTTCAAAATAGAGTTTTAACATCTACAGGAGTACAAGGAAGAAAAGAGCAGGGACAAAAAATTATTAGAAGTACCAAGAATTTTTTGTCAGTACTGTAGAGTAGGCCATTAAATAGCAAGAAAAATAGTAAAATAGTCAAAGCTACAAAAATAAAGCTATAATTGAATCACAAGCTCAAGACATACAAACTATTAAATATAATTGAACAATCGAATCTGACAATCAAAATTAAGGCTCAGATTATTAGTTAATAAAAGCTTTGCTAACAGAAGAGCACAAGCATTGAACTCAACAAATAGCCCTATAGATTCCAAATAAGAAGTGTAAAGGACCAATTTCAAGTCACTCTTCTGTGACTCACTTATTTCTCCAATTAGCAGCAAGAATAAAACAAAACATTTTTGAATGACTTAACGGCTAAAAAGAAGCAAGAAACACCTATTATTCAATTGATGGTAGAAAGATTTGTCTGAATTTGTTGCCTCCTACAATAACAACAAAAACTCATTCAGATACTTACAAAATAAATGAAAAAGCATAAATCGAATATTCTTTTTGATGAAGAGAAGAAAATTAAAAGAAATCAGTTTTAGATTAACTATTCTTCTTTGCAGCAACGGTCAAAAACGTAGAAATTAAAAAATTTTAGACACAAAGACTATCTCTCAAAAGCAGCGAAGAAAAATACTTTCCTAGAATTTCTGATTTTTAGAAATATAGGAAAAAGTCTTAAGAGTTTGGTATTATGAAGCCACCAAAAGAGAAGCAAAAAGCAATTAGGTTACGCTACACTCAGTTTTTATAAAACAGCTGGTTACTTTAATGTCAAAAAACATAGGAAAAAATGGAAAAGACCCTTAAGTTAACATAAGTTTGGAAACTTACCAGTGAATTCAGTGCAAAGAAGAAGAAGAATCTGGACAGCAAGTTGAGTGACAATGTTGAATCGCTTGGAAATCTCTAAAATCCATCAAATGGCCAACATTTGATTCAAAATAAAGCTAATTTATTAGTTTTAGATATCAATAGAAACCTGAATGAGGCAATTCTTTTGTTTAAAGAACCTTCTCAAGAGATCCAAAAAACACCATCTAGATTTATTGTTGCATTTGCTATCAACCTAAGAACTAATTATCCCAAGTTTCAGACAGGCATTTCATCAAACACTTGATAGCCATGCCTATGAGATTTCACATATTCAACCCTCTTCTTAGTAGTCTTATAAACTGAAGGCAATGTCGTACCAAAACCATGTGTTGAGATAACGAAGCAAATATAAAATAAGCAATCATTGTAAGGGATCATAAAATACCTGATATAAGTGATAAGAAAGCATCAAAACATGGAGCAGTAATACTTGAAGTGAAATTGAATTTGTACGAGAATTTCAGAAGAACAAACTAAGCTACAGTTGGACTAATAAATGAAAAAAAATGAACTTTGACAATTAAAAGTAAGGCTCAAATTTGTTTATCAAAGCCAGGCAAAGAAGAAGAGCACAACCATGGCTGCAAATCAGTTGCAGTTCTGGAATAATATATACTCCAAAATGCCATCCAAGTTGCCTCACCAAGATACAGCTTAAATCCAGTTAGTATCAAGCCTGAAACACAACTCATGGCAACAATATTGTATCATCACAGCCTCAAATGAGAATAAAATAAATTCACCTATTTCTGATCTTCATCTGTTGTGAAAACCCAACAAAAAAATCAACAGTATAGTCCAAAAAATCTAGATTCATTAAACCCTAGTTAGGAAATAAAAAGAAGAAACAAACAAATGTTCAAACCAAAAAGGAAATAACAAAAAATTGTACTTCCATATGAAATTGCACATACCGAATCAAGAGAGAAAAAAAAAAGCCAAAACCAGAATGAATGAAGGTTAGAGCGAGAGTGTGATTAGAGAAAGAGATGTGCAAATACAGATAAAAGGAAAGGGAAAAATTTTTCCTGGAAATCAGGATAGATTAGGTGCTATTAGAAGGTCAAGATGAGATGAAAGTATGCCTATCAAAGATTGAAGTCTTGGAAGACATCCAGCCAAAGAAGCAAAACACGGAAAAACAGGGATTAGATGGCTGGTCTCCTGTCTTGGCAGAGGCTGCACAGCTACACATTCAATTCTACCCAAAAAAAAAGGTTACAAAAACGATAACATGAAGTTGATGGGCCCTTTTCCCGTTTTCTTTGAAAGCAGGCAGACCGGCCCATATGTCAAAGTTTGTAGCCCGAGCTCCCAGATCAACAAGCTTCCACCTTCCATAGTGCCAAGTGGCAGCAGCTGGAATAGCTACAGGAAGAGCCAAATGGTTCTTACATTATAGTTAGATATAGCAGTGCAGGATCAAAAGACTAATGAGTGAAATAATATCAAAGAATATCCACATAATCTTTAATTATAAACAAAAAGAAAAAGCATAAAATTTAAAGACACGTAGAATGACATGTGTTGCTTCAAAGCCAAGAGAGGACAAGATCTCTTGAGCATCTGAAAGACTTGGTGAGCAGCAGCAAAAGCAGAGTCTGTGTGGGAATACCTTCTTGTGAAAGGGAAGCCAATTGGCCCTAGGAGTTTACACAATGAAGAATTTGAGCTCAGGTAAGGAAACTAACAAGGGCATTCCGGACGGTCCTAGTAAGCTTACAATCTCAATGTGGAATGCAACTTGCTATTCCACTTCAACCACCAGTAAAAGCATTAATTACATTCCCCAGGACTTAAAAGCATTTGTTGATTTAGTTTCTTCAAGAACTCAACCTTAAGTCCAGTTTTTTTTAACTTCCTGAGTTCCAGCCAAGTCCACAAGCAATGTTACTCAAACTTGTGAGCAGGAGTCCCGTGAACACAGCTACTCTAATGCAAAATAAAGAGTCCAACATGGGTACAAGAAGGCAAAATGAAGAGTCCAAGTAACATAGTCCACGGGTATCTAGTCCAGATTTTGTCCTGTTCAAAGATTCAAGAACTTCAAGTTCAATATATTTGAGTCTTCACAATACTTACTGAAATATAGCTTCTATCCTTTGTGATTCCCTGCTGGAAATTAAACTATAAAATGCAATGACCTCTGCTGCTAGCCATACTCATTTCCGGAGTTGTTAAACCATATAAATTGATATGCATTAAAATAAGTCTAAAGCCTCAGTAATTTGTATAAAGGGAAAAGTGGAAGCAAAGGTAATTAAAAGACAGCAAAGCAAAAAACAATTAAAAAACAACATTAGCAATACAGGTTTCTCCAACTTCTCTGTTAGCTATCCTGTTCTATAATTCAACCAGCTATATAAATTGTACTGGCACTCATAAGTACGGAAAATTCCAGGAATTGACATCATATAAGTGGACTTTGTAATGCTTCTGTACTATTGTCAACCTCAATATGTAAAATAGAAAATAGAAGTAGTTTTGCATTCTTGGAATCTAGGTATGTAATAAGTGAGACAAAAGCTAGCAGCCACCATGAGAAAGCATATAAGTGAACTAAGAAGCAAAATGTTTGTCTCTTTGGATGCAAAGGAGAAGCAAAAAGACAACTATGGTTCATATAAAAGATTTCCTGCAAGTGAGCTCTACTCAACATCCAGCTGCTATCAAGCTTGCACCACCTTTGAAGTATTTAGAGCAGGCAGCAGAAAAGTATCAGTTCTTATTCCTCTAATACTCAAAACTCTGCACTTAAGCACAGGAAACAAAGACGATAAAATCAAAAGCTCACAACCAAGCCATAGTAGAGCCTTCAATGAACATTTTGTTTTCCTTAATGAATATAGACTTTTTTTTCCTACTTTTGAGGCTTTGTAATGATTAAATTAAAATGAAGGAATGAGGATGGAGAAGGCTATTATACCTTATCTCTGTAACTCCACAAAGAAATATTGCCTGCACTCTATTCGGCTTAATCTGTGTATTGTTATTGGATGAATCAAACAGGTCCCTGAAAGAAGGGAGATCACTTATCATAGCAACAGTCTTCTCTAAAGGGATCATCCAGGTGCCAAGAAGGAAGCAGTAGAAAAGAACAACAGGAACACTCAGTTACGAAACCTCCAAGTGAATGTCTTGGTGTATCAGTTTAAGAAGATGATCAAAAAAGGTGAGAACAGAGGAAGAGAGAGTTTACTGTTCTCATTCTGAGTTAAAACCACCAAATGCCTCTTGACTACCAGGTGAAACAATTGCTTGAAGAATACAGAAAAATAACATCTCATAAGTCTACAGCTAGTAGCCAGATGTTTGAGCAGATTTATCTAAACTTTTCTGCTGTACCACCATGAAATTTACAGTAGCTGGAATAAGGTTATTATGTTGTCAAAATTATTTATAGAGAGAAAGAGAGAGATTAGAAAATATTATCGAAAAACACACAAATAATACTTTATGACAAGGGATCTAAAACTAGCTAACACATCTTAGGCTACCTTCATGATTGCAAGAAAACACATCCTACAGATGTAAGGATAAAACATATAAGTGCTACAACTAAATCAGACATGCCCAAATTTTGAATGATTAACTTTCTCAGAATTCAGATGCCTGTCATTTGAAGTTGTGGATGAATGAAAAACTTATTAGTGTCATAGTCTGTTCAAGTTCAAAGAAAGCTCATTCAGCAATCATGAAGAACAACATAAGCAAGCCAAAAGAAGGAAAAGGCCCCCCGGGGGGGTGGGGGTGGAGAAGACAGAACTATAGTGGTGCTTTTTGGAACGTAAAAACTCAAATCTGGCTGATTCAAAAAGACAAAGCAAAGGCAAAGTGAATACAGTCATGAAAACCAAGAAAAGCTAAAGAAGCTGAAGTGAAATCTTCAAATCGTATGACTGACAATGAACAAAGAAAAACTTCAACCATAGAAACTTTTATGATCAAACGGAACCTTCAGTTCAATGATGAGTGGCACCATTGGTAGTAGATGGAAAGCAACAACAATCAGAGTGCCTAAAGCAGCCACAGCACAACAAAACTGTGAAATATGTGAACATTATGACTACAAGATCTCCGATTTTTCTTCAGCACAAGCTAATCTGCAGTATGAACTTAAGTTCATGAAGATTGGAGTACATGATAGCTAAATACTGTCAATTAGAAGTCCTCGTAAACTATAAGCCATTCCTCTTCTTCCCTTATCCTCTCATTTTAGTAACCATAAGAACTAATGCAATACTAGCAGTTAAACAATCAGCGCCAAAAAAATAAATAAATAAAATTATAAAAGTTCTTCTGTCATTTCAATCTCAAATTAAAGTCAATTAAGATGAAAGGATACAGGGAAAGAAACGCCCAACTTGAGTACAATTTAAAACATCAAATTAGGTGTATTTGACTGCATTAATTCATTATCAAATATCAGCTTCCAGTCCATAATTGTGTACAAGATGGAAAGGTTCGTGGAAATTCAACAGATCAGCATCTTTCTTTAAAAAGAATCCAACTTTGTATCACCCAGCCTCTAGTAATCTACCAATAATCTCTACAAGAACAGGTTCCATCTCTAAAATGGTGGAATCTACTACGATCTCTCACAACAATTTCCCGTTCAAAAACCTTTGACACTAGTTTAATTGCGAGGTGGCAATCAGCACAAATCCGCAGGTTTTTGACCACTCTAATTGGGGTTCTTGGTGGTGTACTGATTAACATGAATGCAATTGCAATCTTCTCGCTATGGTAAGAAAGAGCAGTCTCCTTCTCCTCATCCTCTATGTCAGCAAGCACATTCACTGTATGAGGCACATAACCCTCCAATATCAATAACCTAGTCATCTCCACGAGCATAGCATAAATCTCTTCAGTTTGAGGATGGGACCTGTCTCCCATGACAAATTCGTGTATGGAATTCCCCAGCTCAACAAGACTATGCCCTGGCACTTTCTTAACACCTTCTTTAAGCATTGTCCTCCTTATTTTATGAGCATCACCCCAACGTCTCTCAGATGCATAAAGATTTGACAGGAGCACATAATCCCCACAATGTTTAGGCTCTAAAATCCTAAGTTGATCTCTGGCAAGCTCTCCCAAATTCAAATGCCCGTGTATTGAGCAAGCACCGAGCAAAGTCCTCCAAATCACAGCATTGGGCGGCAGAGGCATTTTCTGCATATACTCGTAAGCTTGTTTTACCAAACCAGCTCTACTCAACAAATCAACCATGCAACCATAGTGTTCAATCTTAGGCACAATTCCAAACTCCTTTTTCATCCTCTCGAAATAAGCAAAACCTTCGTCTACCATCCCACAATGACTGCAAGCATACAACAGGCCAACAAAAGTAATCTCACTAGGCACCCAGCCTTCTTCCTCTAACTTCTTGAAAAGCTCAATTGCCCTTTCACCAAAACCATTGACAGCCAACCCAACAATCAAAGCAGTCCAAGAAACCACACTCTTTTCCTCCATCTCATCAAACACCCTTTCTGCCTCCCTAATCTTCCCACATTTTGCATAAAAATCCAATAACGCATTAGCCACATGCAAGTTCTTATCCAACCCAACTTTCAACATGTACACATGAGCCCTCCCACCCAAAGCTAAAGCCCCTAGCTCAGCACAAGCAGTCAACAAACTGACCAAAGTGAAACCATCAGGTTTAACACCCTCCAACCCCAATTCCCTATAAAGGGTCAATGCTTCATTAGGCCTACTATTCATAGCATACCCATTAATCAAAGTATTCCAAGCCACAAGGTTTTTCTTCTCAGACATTTTCTCAAACAGCTTAAGCGCACTCTCGGCTCGGCCACAGGCACCATAGAAATGCACCAAAGCATTCTGAACAAATACCAACGACTCAAACCCATTTTTCATGCCAATGCAATGAACTCTCTCGCCTTCTCTCACAGCAATCATCTTAGCAATGGCTTTCAACAAAAAGGGGTACGTGTGAGTATCCGGCTGCACAGAATCCACACGCATTTGGCGGTGTATCCCAACAGCTGGACTCGGGTTTTCACTCTCAGCATAGCCTCTAATCATCGTGTTCCAAGTGAATATATTCGGGTTTTGGATTTGACTGAAGATTTTCTGAGCATAGGACATAGGTCCTGCAAGGGAAACAAGGGTGAAGATCAAGTGCTTGCCCATGTCTGGGCTGCTCAAAGCCACCCCATGTCTGATTGAGAAGGCATGAACTTGGCGAAGTTTGTATCGCGAAGTGGTGG